TTGCTAATGAGTATGCTGGATAGATACATCTTGAAATACTCTCCATTTTAGTTAAAAATATTCTGCCCAGTAAACTAACATCACGCAGCAGCCAAAAGTTGAGCTTAGATTGGCAATTATCTATTACTTTCCAAATATTTTCATTTTCTCTATCAACATAATTTTTTGATATAGTGATACCTAAATATTTCACAGTGGATTTTATGGGTATGCTGTAAGCTTCGTAGGCCTCACCACACTTTAAACAGCTGGGCAGTCTTCTTCTGCATAAAATGCTTTAATGTACCTCATGTTTAATATGTGAGTTGTTTTTTTTTTAAACATAATATATATTATGCACTTGAGGTAAATTAATGTGTCAGTGTAACCTAAACCATCCCCGAGAATGTACAGGTTAGTTTCTAGAAAATGTTTATTAAAGTTCAGTATTTGATTTCAGTATTTTTAAAGGAAGTATGAAATTTATCAATTGTAAACATAAGGTTGACATCTATTGTTAATTTCTCAGTTGCACAGATTGCCATGTGAACTTTGTAAGATTTTCCATTAAAGCCACAACATATGGGGCTAATTTGCTTGAAGTAGAAAAATTGAAACTTTTTACAATTCTGCCTTAAAATATATAGCTCAATACATTTTAAAAAAATTTGAGCTGAATTTCTTTTTTTTCTGCATTTTGTTTAGATATTTAAAACTTTGTAATAAAGAATGGTTTACATGAAAGAAACCACATCTCAGGATTTAAAATGACATATTTCCCCACCCAGTATTGGTAAAAATAACTTATCTCACACTATCTGGAAAACATCATGCTTCTAAATTTATACCTTCATGTTTAAATGTTTTACACGTGTTTCCCAACCGTTCCTCAAGGCACACTGCCGTGCATGTTTTAGGTTTCCTTGCTTCAACACACCAGATTGCAGTTCAACAAAAGCCTGTTAATCAGTTATCAGCTATGTTGAGGCAGGGGAAACATGCAGAACAGTGCGCCTTGAGGACCAGGGTTGAAAAACACTGTTTTACACAACTGAACCAAAATCATAAATATAATTTAGTATTTTTATTCTTTCTCAAATGAATCATATATTTTTAAAATAATAATTTACCTTTTAATATATATCTCCAATAAGACAAACTACAAACAAAGTGAGATCCATTTATACAGTTTATTGTTAGCAAAATGTCATGTTCACTCCTGCATCTTCTCGATGGTCTCCTCTTTGTATTTGCCCTTCTCCTTTCCAGCAGCGCGAGACTTGGCCTTGCGTTCAAGGATCTTCTTGCGGTCCTTGTCAAGCTTTAGCCTGGTGATAACCACCTGCAGACACAGATAAAACACAGGCTGGTAAACACATTTCTCTGCGAGCTGAACCAATCAAAAAGATTTGGCACTGAACTGACGGGAAGAACTATTATTAACAGAAACCTCATTTTGTTCAGGTTTGAGAAAACAGGACAGAGGAAAAAAAATAGCTTTGATGTCTGATGGTTCAGGCCTATGCAAGCTTGTAGACTAGATTTTAAAATGAAGAATCAAACAGTTCTCACTTATTTAGGCATTTTTAACAAAACAGATAGTTCTCTACATTTTTACTTTTGATAAACATTTAAGCTTCAGAAATCTAAAACTGCCAGGTGGTGTCTAAAATCAGTCACAGCTGACCAATGATCCCTCAAAAACCAGTTTGATCATTTCCCTAAATAATAGATTACTATTGTTTAAAATAAACTCAACCTTAAAAAGTTAAGAATTAGTCTAGTATAACCTGCCAAACAAAGTATTTACTGCCCAGAATAAAACTGTCACATGTATGAGTTCAATTTGTAGCAGAAGTAAAGATTTACACTCAAACTTAAAAGGCTGAACCAAATCAATCATTTTTATTGTGCAACTAGCAGTTAACATTTGAATCACAAGTTAACCAAATGTGTTTATTCTAAATAATAAATCTGAAGGTAATATAAGGATACAAGATGTTCAGGATCAAAAAGCTCAGTATCATTTTTGGTGGCTCTGATCCTTATAAGTGGTATTAAATCAGAAAGTAAAATCCAACAAGTTTCAAAGTGACCCCAGTCTGAACGGTCACGTTACATTTCAGACCTTTACATCATTGAAGTAGAGCTATGTGAATTGATCCAAATATTGACTTTATAAGAAACCAATGTCTTGTAGTTTAAAGCTCTGAACTCTGCACATCTTCAGCAAAAAAGTTAAGTTGCTTTGACATTTTAATCTTTTAACTTTTACATTTGCCTTTTCCTAGACTAAAAACAAACATATGATACTAACAGTGTTAGTATCTCATGTCAAAAAGAAAAAAAAATTGTATAGGTCTTCGGGACGGGTTCTTCTCTAATGAAACGTTTCGTCTCTCCTCGAAAAGACTTCTTCAGTCTGAGAGTTTCAGGCAAAATTCAGGCTTTTAAGCCCTGCCTCCATGTGACTGATACATCACATGGCTATTGTTGACACCTAATTAACACCTATTGTTAACAGGGGGTGGAGTGATACTGGCAAAGGCCGCGCTGTAGGAGGACAACTGAAAACGGAGGCCTCCACCTCTGTTTAATGATGGACGGTCTTTCTTCACAAAAATGTCTTCTTTTACTCCTCTCTCAAACCAACGTTCCTCTCTATCAAGAATGAGAACATCCTCATCTCTGAAAGAGTGACCGCTGGCCTGTAAATGAGTGAAAACTGCAGAGTTCTGGCCATTAGATGTAGCTCGTCTGTGTTGGGACATTCTTTTGAACAGTGGCTGCTTTGTTTCTCCTACAGCGCTGCCATTGCCAGTGTCACTCCACCCCCTGTTAACAATAGGTGTTAATTAGGTGTCAACAATAGCCATGTGATGTGAGTATCAGTCACATGGAGGCAGGGCTTAAAAGCCTGAATTTTGCCTGAAACTCTCAGACTGAAGAAGTCTCTTGGAGGAGACGAAATGTTTCATTAGAGAAGAACCCGTCCAGAAGACCTATGCAATTTTTTTCTTTTTGATTTTTTACCTGGCTTACTGAGATGCATCAGGACAGTCTCTCATGTCCCACAATTGTTGGACTGAATTGGTCCTAGGCTGGTGTGAGTGATACATAAATTTATTTCTACTTCCAGAACATCGTTTCTGTTTCAGAAGTGCCATTCTACGCCAGAGCAGGTGGGAACAAACACGATCAAATGGCGTCAAAATCAAAACACTGAACAGAACGAGCAGAGCTGATATTAATTTAGCTGTATGTGACTGCAAAAGAACGTCAGAATTGATTCACACATGCTGCAGCTTCTGTATTTACTTCTGTACACACAGCGTGCTGCATTGTTGAAGCAAACTGCATGCCCAGAAGAACGCTCACACTGCAGTCTGATGGTGGGCACATTTAAATTACACAAACAACCGCACGTGCACAAAATAAACAAAAATAAAAAAAATTAACTCAGAAAATAAAAGTAAGAATTGTGTATTAAAACTGGCAGCGGGAATGTAGCCTAAATATCTCTGGTGAAACAAGAATTCAACAAAAATCAT